TGCATAAACTGGAACATTGAAATCAAAAGTGCCGACGCAGAGTGAGCGATCTGATTCTTTAGCTATAAACTGTGTCATAGGAATCAAAATGGCCGCGCCCTATGTTGGGCGTGTCGGACCTCTCTCTTACACCGTATAGTAATCAAAGTATGTGGTTGGCCGTGTCGGACCTCTCTCTTGCACTGTATAGTAATCAAAGTATGTGCTGTCTGTCTACAAACGACGTGACATCTTTATGCCCCATAGCCCTCAGAAGGTCTAGATACCGCATCGTAAAAACATTTTGACCCCCCATATGATGGGCGCCATGATAAATAAATGTCAATAAATTTTAAGTTGGCACTTCTGACAAGACAGAATCGGCACAAGTTTAGTAATAAGCGTAAGATCGGCGTTCGACGTATATTATCGATTTTATTATCTGTTGTGTTGTTTATTTTGTTCTTCTAGTAAAGGTTTTATTTAAAACATTATTTTTTAGTTTAGTCGTTTAGTGTTTTATTTTAATAAAAAACATTTGTGGTTTGGTGTTAAATTTTTACAGGATTTTCAAAATCTCTTGTTGTTTTGTACGTGAATGTAACAATGCATCCAACGGTAGAAGATACAAGGAAGGAATAACATTTCATGTGTAAGTTTTCAAAAATATTTGTATATTATCAAAATCAAATAATTTGTGTTTTGTTGTAGCATACCAAAAAAATTTAGGAAAGAATAACTGATAGCCATAGGAAGACCATTGAATCATTTTGTGACTTTAGTATAAGCCCAGAAAATTTGGGGATACTAGCTGAAACGGCAAATGTGTTATTGGCTCCTTGTTAGTGACCTATTGTACAATTTTTCCAACACACGTTCCATGATCTTTTGAACTTGGCTGCACCGTACTGATGAAGACCAATAGTCAGAAAAACATGTCGACCGTTACTTCTTTTTTACTTTTTTTTATTCGGAAAATGTCCACTATTACTACCTTGATACAATAATATTAGTTCCGTTCTAAGTAGGTACATATTATAGTTTGTATGTTTTATGCTTTATTTTATTACATGTAATAAATGTTAGGAAATATACTTTTATAGTTAATAAATTGATTAAAGCAATATGTAAGAATAAGTTTATCTAAGGATTGTTAAAGCAATTTTTCATATCCATTGTTTATTAATTTGTTTCATTTAATTCTTTCTTATTGAGTAAGTTATTTCATATAAATATGCGATACTTGTAAAATGTAATATTTTCTTTTAAATAGGTATATATTATGTTTGTATAAAATATTGTTCAGTTAATAAAAACAGAAATATTTTGTCTTTTATTCAAAAGAAGATTGTAAATTTTTCAAAATATATTTACCTACCCCAAAAAAAGATTAATAAAACCAGTTAGTCATATACACATTTTCTATATATTTATAGAGGTACTTTTTAAATAACTTTCAATACATTCGAAATCTGTGGTTTTATTAAACTCAATGTAACAGATAATAATAGGTATTCTCAAAAATATTTAAAAATAAAATCGAGATGGGACTCTTGTATAATTTAGTGACTATTCGCCTATGGTTAGTGCACTGCTGTATGTCCCTGGGTTTTCTACATTAGAACAATACTGCTTCTCCACTCGAGCAGTATTTTTTGCATCTCACAAGATTATATTTATTAAAAAACCAAGGAATTGTTTCGGGCCTATTGCTGTGCCCTTTTCCAACATTCCCAAAGTTATTTTTTTACTTTCTGCTGATTGGATCTCCGATAGCGACAACTCCATTTATTGTTCCACTAGTTTTTTATCAAATTTTTAAAATAACTTCTATATATTTATCTTTTGCAACGACTTTGCTTACCTGCTTCATAATCTCTTCCCTATGCCCCAATTTCTCTAACAGGTGAGATCTTATACTCGCTCTATTAAATCAAATTATCATTATAGTTTATTTGAAAATGGTTGGTAGCACAGTTTTTATGGCAAAGGTCCCTATTTTTATATAATTTTGCTATTATTAATTTTCAAATAAACTGTAGGAATAGGAGTAATCTATTAGTTTTTCTAAAAATACCTTGTTAAGTAAGTATATCTTTCCCTAGTTAAAAAATTCGAGTTTTTATTTTCATAATATAAATAAATGACCGGTTAACAATCACATTCTTTTAAATAGTACATTTGACATTGAAGTAGGTATTTTCTCCATATTGCCAAACAGGAACAGATAATTTACTTGTAATTTGAATTATATTACATAAATCTCACTGAATTTCTCTATAATTCTCATAGCAATATGTACACAAAACACTTATCCAATAATATATATAACCATGTAAAAATAACATTTCAAGGACGAGAAAATTTATAAAACCGGTCCTGTCTGAACAGATCTAGGAAAATCAAATAGGTTTGTCAAAGTTTTGTTCTTAATTTGAAATTAGAAATTGTGCGTCTCACTCACTTATAACTAATAACAAAGTGCAGATTATCGGTGTTCACGTATTACAGAACACACAAACTAAAAATCAGTGTAGCCAAAACATAAATTTACCTAACATGGCGACAAGCTTGAATGGGGTAATTTTTTAGTATTGACAGCATACGCCAAGCGGTATCTAGACTTTCTGAGGGCTATGTTATGCCCCGTATCTCTCCTCAACACACATCATTTGGCGTTAAATCGTCCCCGTATTTGAGCCTAAGAGTTATTAAAAAATTAATAGACGATGAAGTTGCTAACTATCATGATGCTGTCGTGTCCATTAAAACCGATATGTAATGATTTAATAACTAGTTTTCCGGATTTTCAATCTGCTACAAAGACAAATTGTTGCTTTGTTTTCCTCTGGTGGTTTTCAAATCGTAAAATGGATGTCAAATTCATCTCATTTGTTATGTTCTATTCCAGAAAGTTTTAGACTAACCCAAGTTAAAGATTTTGAATCTGAATTTTAAAGATTTCAGGTTTACAATTGAACCCTTCAATAGATAAGTTTATTTTTAAAATAACTCCCGTTGATTCGGTCTGTAACCAAGAGGCATTTGCTCTCCTTTGTCGCTAGAACTTTTGCTCCCTTAGGGTTCATTTCGCCTTTTATTCTTCTTATTAAACTGTTGATAAAATCTCTTTGGGATTTAAATTATAACTGGGATGATGTTATTCCAACAAAAATAGGTCAACAATGTCACAAAATTCTGTCCGAACTGCTGGAATTTGGTAAGTTTGAAATTCTAAGACATATTTCTTTTTTCCAGGATTGTAGTTTAACATTAGTTGAATTTTGTGATGCCAGCAAAGCTGGCTACGCAGCCGTTGTTTATGCCATATCCAAAGGGCCCAAGTTTGTCAATGTTACATTTTTATATTCTCAAGCACGCGTAGCTCCTAAATTAGCTGTTACTTTACCGCGATTAGAATTATGTTCTGCCGTTTTACTAGCTAAATCATTATTTCATATTAAGAGGAGCCTCTCACACCGTATAAACGTTGATAATATATTTGCACTTTCAGATTCACAAATATCTCTACATTGGATTCATTATCAGCGTAAAAGGTGGAAAACTTTCATTTCTAACCGAATAACCTTAATCCAGAGTTTAATTTCTTCTGAAAATTGGTGTTTTATCCCAGGTAAACAAAATATAGCTGATTGCGCTTCCCGAGGACTTGATCCCGTAGCTTTTATGAAAAACCATGATTGGATTAATGGTTCTAGTTGGCTGTCTTATAATATCTCGAATTGGCCAATACAATTGATCAACGAATAACTGTTAACAGCAATTTCCCATAACCATGAATCTTGCGAATTAGACGCCATCGTATCTTTTCCAAAAGTCGAAAATCCCCTTATTTTATAATATAATATTTTTCCTCTTTTAGTAAAATATTAAATGCTACTGCTATGTTCTGAAATTTCTGAAAATACTACCTCGAACTATCTAGTTCTTTACTAGACTATGATCACCAGCATCCCATTTTATTACCTAAATAACTTTGTTACAGCCCTAATTGATCATTATCATAAATTGTATTGCCATACTGGAGCCCATTTTTTTCCGTTTTACGCTAGAACTCCCGTGTGTAAACGTGTTTGGTTATGTAATCGTTGTTTTAGAGCCAATCCTAAACCATCATATCCTATCATGTCAGATTTACCATCGGAAAGAGTTAACCAAATCAAGGCTTTTTTACAACTGGTGCTGACTTCACTGCTGCCTACCCTATCACTATGTTTCTCAAGCGAGGAGTTAGAAGTCAAAAGGCTTATATATGCATATTTATCTGTTTGGTTACAAAGGCCATTCACCTAGAAGTCGCATCATCATTGTCTGCTTTTTAGCAGCCTTCAAACTTTTAAACTTTATGCCTTTGCTCAGGATTGGGATTTAGTCCGTCAGATAGTGACAGGTTTAGGTGCCCCATTTTCGCATACAAGCCTCGAAGAGGGTTGAGAAGTACATCGATTTTAAGTAGAATGAAAAGAAATTTACGAGTGGCTGCTGGGGATAACACATGGAAAATTCGATTTTCCCTAACAAAAACGAAATATTATTTGTTGCCCATTTTTCCACGCAAGCCGTTTTCACTATATGATTAATTAATAGAACTAGTCTTCGGAAAACCAAAGGCTTTAATATTGCAAGTGGCTAAAGGGTTGAAATAAGGGCGTAATCTTCTAAGGGAAAATCAAGATTTTGTCCGATTTTTCCACACAAGCCCATCGAATGTAAGAAAACGTACGTCGTCACTAGTCCAAAAAACATATTTTCTTGAATGACATGAATGTATAATTTTTGTTAAATAGTTTCATTTAAATGATATAAAATCATTTTCATTCCATCAGTTTTCAAATATAAAATTATTGACTTCAAAGAAATCAAAAAATACTACACTTTATTCTATCTCGATGACTTTTACGAATAAAACTAGTGTCCAAGATGGAAGGCTATGTCGCAACCCCCTTAGATATACGAGCCCTTCCCACTGGCAGCTATTGTTTGACAGATTGTTGGAATGCCTTAATTCCAAATTTGACATTCTTTTCATCAAATTATAACAGATTGCCAGCAGCTGTTAGTTTTTTTTTTATTAATTTAATTTGAAAAATGATTTTTGATCGTTGGGCTTCTCTAGCTGTAACTCGAAACAGGGCAGAATCCGTGCAACTCAAAAAGCAATTGGATCACTTAGAAAAGCAAAAATATAAGGAAATTATTATTCTTAAAAATAAGAAAAATGACTACAGAAAGAGGTGTCTTATAGATCTATCTTCGAAAGATTTTGGTTCCCAGGACGACCTTTTAAGCTTTGAAAACTTACACATTAAGTGAGTAAATACATATTTAGAAATTAGACTTACTTAATTTTGAAATTTTGATAATTCTGAAAGTATTCATGTTTGTCACGAAAGAAATATAATTAGTCAGGAATAAACTTTTGTATCTCCAAAAATGATTCTCATATCTCGTAGAATTTCTCACTCGACCATTCCCCGTTGTTTTTCTAATTAACGATGAAGTAACAAAGTCAACACAGCAGAGGAATCTACTTGTTAAAGCCGTTTACACAGAAACAAACCAATGGCACTTGGCAAATATTTTCCTCTGATATATATTTTTACTGAATAGCTCAGTAAGATAAAATGTTCTTCCACTTAACTCAACAAAAGTATCTACTGGTATATTATGTCTGAGATTTATTACAAAAAACAAAATAAAACATGCAATAATAGTAAAAAATAAAAAAAGATTTTGTGAGGATTGTATATAACATAGATAAGCTACATTGTTATATCTACTAAAGTCACTATATACAGGGTGATTCATTAAGGGTGGCGACCGGCCGCATCAGAATATCTTGAAGTAGAATTTTTTTTGAAAGAAACACAAAAACAGGTCGGTTTTTATATCAAGGGGGACACCTTTCTATAATATCATCAACTGTCATATGTCATTCCCCTTTCCTACGTCAATCTAATCATTACAATTTAAATAGGGAAAGTACCAAATATGACACATCGTCGGAAAGGTAATTTTATGGAGAATTCAGCAATATGACTTCATTGCGTTTCTTTTAATTTTAGCGCACTCTAGCGGGATACAAAAGTATTACCTATGGTAAAGTGTGACACTTCATTTGAAAGCTAATTTTATTAGTAATCCAATGCACCACATAACATTAACCCAGATATCTCCATAGACAACAAAATAAATTTAGTAATAATGCATTCTTTTTTCCTTTTAAGTTCATTTTTGATTTGGTGTATTAAATCACTAATAAATTAACTTTAAAATGATGTGTCACACTTTACCATAGGTAATAATTTTTTATCCCGCTAGAGGGCGCTAAATTTAAAAGGAACGCCATGAACAGTCATATTACTAAATTCCACATAAAATTAACTTTTCGACGATGTGTCATACTTGGTACTTTTCCTATTTAAATTGTATTGGTTACGTATGGGAAAGGAATGACAGGAATGACAATGACAGATGAGGATATTATAAAAAGGTACCTTTGAAATAAAAACGACTTATTTTTGCGTTTCTTTCAAAAAAAGTTCTACTTTAAGGTATTTTGAGATACGGCCGGTAGCCACCCTTAATGATTCACCCTGTATTTTTGTTTAAAATTTATATATTAGATATAGATTAAGTTATATTTGGAAAACTAGTTATAGGATCAAATTTTACCAATAATAATGTCGAAGGAGTACATCGAGAACTATACAATATCAGATATTGAGATACTTTGAGGGTAGTGTATTTTTTTGTTTCTTTTTTGTTTGCTATCTTGTTTTTTTTTTTTTGGTTTTTTTGTTTTTTTTTTGTTTTTTTTTTGTTTTTTTTATTTTTTTTTATTTTTTTCGGTTTTTCTGATATTTTTGTTCAGTGGAAATACCAATGACTATGACAATATTTTGATTATAGTAATTAAGTATGCATAGTGACTACACAGAATGAGCGAATAACTTCCAAAAATATTTAAGGCTGATTTTAGATGTCAATTTTAAAGAATTAAGGATTTATAACTTCAACCTTTGTACTTCACAAAATCTAGTCATAGGACCCATGGACACTTTTGATGGGGACATCAAGTAATTTAATACATAAAAAATTCATTTGCATAAGAAAAGTGCGTGGTCCTTTGAATGCGACAAACGACTATGACGCAAAGTCTAAAATCACACCATTACATTTTAGCGTTCACATTTCGGTTTCGTCAGCTGTACATGTATAATGCTTTAACTCCATCTCTGACTAGAAATTGAGACATAATTTATATATTGCATATTATAATAATGCAGTTTAATTTTTTTGTTTTCATTGAAATAATATATGCATTAACCATTAACCCTTTTTTAGAGGTGCAGATGATCGATCAGCCTCCAGATCAAACATATCCTGCGATTACAATTCCTTGCATCGTATGGTTTTTACTAAAGATACAGTTGATATAGAAAAGCTCCTAATACTCCATTTGATATCTGTACATAAATCAGAGACTCTAACACCGTCACGCCATAAGTTATCGACAGTGCTGAAAGAAAACGATCCTACGGCCAGATTGATTGAAAAATCTCGGAGACCGTTAGTAGTTGTTACTGCTGGAGAGAGCTCTAAAGGTACACTTTGGGAACGTGAGACTGATGCAAGCGACAGGCAGCATGGCAGCAAACGCTGCCTGGTTAAAAGTGCTGTCGCGGTCTCTTGCTTCGGCCGCTCGGTCCCAAATGTGCTTCATATATTTTACATGTGATTCAGACGTAAAGAGACCGTTTTCGGTCGCCTTATACGGTCCCTTACCTCTGTCTCCTGCATCGCTCTCGCGTTCCCAAATAGTACCTAAAGGGCAACTTTACAGTTCGCAATTCCTATTGAGCGCAAGAGAAATTGGTGTCTGTATTACATTTCACAATTCATTTCAAAATAGTCGCCAATTTAAGTCATTAAATAAGTACACCAACTTAGTTAAAGACAGAGATTCCCCATAGCACTAACAAAATTAAGGGAAAACATAAATCGACATCCCAACGAGCAAGGGCGTAACGCAACAGATGTCTTTCTTCGATTGTTACACTGTGGTAATTTACGGTAAAAGACCTATTCGACAGTATAAACGACTTCCGTCTTCGAGATATATTTCCGTAGATGTTGAAGTGTAATAAAGACGTAAGTCTGATATTATTTTTGTTTCTGCAATACAATTTTCTCAACAATAACTAAGAAGTAACTTCATTTACTTACCAATTTATTCTATGACAACATTTCTAAACATTCCCTAAAAGCATACAATTATTTTTTCTTAGTAAAATACTTTAGTCATATTAAAATACGTTTAGTCGTATTAAAATATGTTTTGTTATGTACGTTGCATGCATGATACTATTACTCGAGAAGATAAGCCCACTTGACGATTCAATTTCGACCACGTTTGCGCATGACGTCACCCGATGACAAAAATCCAGCTCGTGGGCTTGGAAAAGCATTACGCTAGAGCGGTTTTAATCTATATTTTATGTTTATTTATTAAAATATCGATATATTATTTTTATAATATTGATATATTATTAAATTAAGTATTTTTTGGCTTGTCTAATCATCTTAAATTGTCCCAAAACGCGTAAAAAAAGTATTATGAGATTATGAGCAAAAAAAAATTTCTGTCTGTCGGTATTCACCATAACTTTTAAAGGAATTGCGCTATAGATAGGTGTTATTCCATTAGGGGTCGAATTGGAATATTTTTTAGTAAAATTGGTAAAGGGGAATGGGCTGAAATGTCTGGGAAAATGATAAAAAAATTGCAATTTTTCGTAAAAAATCGAGTAATATGTCGTTATATAGGTTTTTGGCTATGGACATTTTGATTTTATTATCCGTTTATATATATATTTTAACAGATAATTAGAAAAAGAGTGAAAAGGAGAGGGGTAAAAATTTAAAATATTTAAAAAATCGAGTTGTCTCGTACTATTCTAATTTTAAAATTCTTTTAGTGATTTGATAAAAAAAATTACAGGTAGGGGTAAAAAGGGGAGAGGGTAACAACTTAAAATATTTGAAAAAAAATTAAAGTTAAATCTTATTTTAGAGCTTCTAAAGTATAGACTTTTCATTTTACAATCAATTTAATATTTTTATAAAAATTACGGATGAATGTAAAAAGGAAGGGTAAAAATTGAAAATGTTTGGATAAACAAGTAATAATTAGTTAAAAGTTAAACAGCAACAGAAATTTGGAAGTATTGATTCAATTTGCAGCAGTATTTTTTGGGATTTTGGAAGGCGGTAAATTTTTTTAAATGATAAACAATTTATTATTTATAGGACAAATATTCACAAATTTACACTTTTAATTTATTTTACAATTTTTGTCATTTCTCTCTTCCTCACTTTGGTTTTTTCATATCCCTATTTAATAAACAGAATTTAAAATACACGCAAAACTGCTTTGCGCCGTATAAAACTGGCTGTTGCTGAGTCGGGTAGTCTCCCAGTGACGTCAAGCTTGCGAGAGAGATGGGCTGATCGCATGCGCGTGGGTTTATCTTCTCGAGTAATAGTATCATGCGTTGCATGTATGTTTTTTGGTGGACGTAACTGTGCCTAAATAAAAAACTATTGACTCCTACATAAAAATGGGATTAGCAATAAAACTAAACTCCTTATGTTGTATAAAATAATTGAAATAATTAAAATAGACGAAGAAATATTCGTGTTGTTACGGTTTCGAAGTGAATATTTACATTTTACTCTCTTGAAAATTTGTCGCAAAGTGAGGTACGTCGTTTTTCGGTCAAGCTCGTTCTCAAATCTTCAAATGCCTCTCTCTATACAGCATCGGTTTATATGAGAAATGCATTTATGCATACTAAGCCCATATCTTCGTCTGCGTCAGTTAAGTTTTCAGTGTACGTTAAGAGACGTAAACCTGAGTGTGAAAATTGTGAGGTCATTAAAATCGCAAATCGAAATTAGAAAAGTCAGAAAAATATCTAAAAATAATTTTAAAATTCGAAAACAAATTTCTAAAATCCCCCTACGAATTATCAAGACGAGCTTGACCGCCGTAGACCCCAAACTAGCACATCAAATTTCTGACTAGGAATGTCGACAGTCAATGTCGTGATGGTCTAGCATACAAGGCGAGTTCGATTCCTTGCTGCGACAGGCTTTTTTTCAAATCTCTAAGTATTAGTTTTCTACTTTGGGTTTCGGGGATGGTCTTGATAATTCGTATGGGTATTTTTGATTTTTTATTAGCTGATTTCCACTCTTCAAAAATGACAAATTACAAAAAGAATTGCAAGAATTGATCAAAAGATCGTTAGTACGTGGGAATTGCAAGAAAGAAAAATTGCGAACTGTAAAGTGACTCTAAAAAAAATTAATAAAAAAAGTTTGAATAAGTTCAAACTTATTTTATGAATTTTACATTATAAATTCTCCTCTAAAGTTGTAAATATATTAAAATATTTGCCGAACTGTTAGCGTACAAATTTGACCGAACGAACTAGATCGAACGTGTTCGAATAAAAACGAGCGCGAACAATCTGAAAAAGGCATTGGCGATTGTAAATGATAAGCAATTTTATTCGCAACATTTATTTTGTGCTCTTTCTTGCTTGTTCATGCTCATGTCATATCTGGACGTACTATAGATATACAATGCGAACATAAAGTGTTACCCCTTCTACTATGTTATGTTATGTTGATAATGGGGTGTTAATACACTGCGACCTAAAAGATCTATTGTGCCCCCTTCTGTCGCCACTGCACTAAGGAAATGTCTCAATGCCTATAGCGACCCTTCCAATCCTATTTTCTCAAGGAAGTGTAGGATTTGAAGTGGCTTCAAGTTAGGTAAGTCTCCCTCTTCTATTTGATATCCTCCTAGATATAGTGCCCTTGGATTCTGGAGTGCTACACATTCAGTTAGGATGTGAATGGAGGTTTCGTCCTCCTCCTCACAGAATCTGCACTCACTATCCTCTACTACTCTCAGTTTACTTAGGTGTCCTTTTAGTCGGCAGTGCCCGGTAAGGATCCTTGTTACAATACGTAGCCTGTTCTTGCTCAGGCAGATGCAGGCTTCCGATCTTTTTTGGTTATATTCACCCAGAAGTATCTTGGCCTGTCTCAGCCCCAAGAGATTTTTCCAATTATCGGTTCTTCTACTACCCAATTCTTTTTTAATCTCTTCTAATATTATGTTACTGCTGATACCGCAGAACGGCTCAGGTCCTACAAAGGGTGTGTGAGCCCCTTTCCTTGCAAGACTATCTGCAATCTCGTTACCCTGTACCCCGTTATGTCCCGGGACCCAAGTGAGAGTAACTCTATTTTTCTCGCCTGGCTCATTCAATTGTTCTAGGCATCTCCATACCATTTTTGAGCTGATTACGTAAGAACTCAGCGCTTTGATGGCTGCTTGACTATCGGACATGATGATAATCTCTTGTCTATGATAGTTTCTCTCGATGTTAAACTGGATACACTTCTCGATGGCGTGAATTTCCGCCTGGAAGATGCTTGGGTATTTTCCCAAGCTTTCGGAGTGCTTGGTTCTCGGCCCATACACTCCTATTCCAGTTCCTTCTATGGTTTTGGAACCGTCCGTGTACCACTGAATAGCACGTCTTTCGGTTGCAAGCGCGATGGATTCTTGGCTCCATTCTTTCTTGCAGCCCAGCTCTGTGGTTTCTACTAATATCTGTTCAGTAAAATATTTGAGAAAATGCTTGGTCAGGGCGATTTTTATTTCTGATGAAGCACATTTTTATTGTCAAAAAATTGATCATATCGACGGCGTCACGACAAAAAGCTGTAAGCGACATTGAAACTTTTTAGGAGACTAAAAAAACATACTACTGCGTTAATTTTGCACATTTTGCATTTATTTCTTGTTACTAAGTGATCCTAATGGTAACCTACTATAAACAGTGCACTCCAAAATAGTTAAAGCTATGTAATTTTCGTAATATTTCAAAATTTGGCGTTTACGCCTTTTTTCAAATATCATTTGGCGTTTACGCCTTTCCGATGGCGTTTAAGTCTTTCGTTTTTAAACAGTTATGTTTGTTCTTTTCGTTTAGGCATCCTTTGCGCCTTTTAAATTCACAACAGTAGTGTAAAAATGTCGGTTAGATTTTTATTTTGTTTCATTACTTACAAAACAATAAAGAACAAATAAAAAAATCTCATACGTATTTTGTAACATTTTTTATTGTTTAATATCAAAAGTAAAAACAATCATAAATATAATTATAAAAAACGGGAGAGAAAAATCGGTTGAGATCCGAAAAGGAATATAATTTGGAAATGTGCAAAAAAATGAAAGACCCAATTCCCCCTACGAAATTATGGAAACCATTCTCAACAATCCCAAAGGTGAAAACAAACTCAAGAAACCTTGAAAAGGAAAAAGTGGATGCCTCTGCGTATCTTCAAAAAATGTACCAATTCGGCTGTCGTTGGCCATGTGCTTCGTTGGCTTAATTGGTATAAAATCGTCGCGTAAAGACGATGTTTCAGATTCAACTCCTGGCAAAGTCACACATTTTTTTCCTTTCCTTCAGCTTTTTTCA